AGAAACCGGGATCAAATGAGTTTGGCAAGGGAAGTCAAACTGAGTATGACATGCCCCGCAACGCGACAGAGGGCTCTTCACAGCCTGTAGCTTTGCATTTGTTAGCAAGGTTTGTTCACTCTTCCAGTGCAAAACCCTCATTTTCAGCAATCACCAGCTGAAGGTCCTTGTTTTTAGTGAGACAATATTTGCAAACACCTTTATTATTTGAGACAATCCAAAAGGAAGGAAAGGAGACGGAGCATGTAATTGTTCTCTTAGGGCTGGTGGTGGGATGCTGTTTACTGCACAAGCAGTTAGGAAGGAAGCTCAGAAGTCTTGTGGTTGGGATTTGCTCACAGATGGAACTGGCAGTGACAGCAGAGCCTGGGATCAGCTTCAGTCAGCAATGACTCTTTTTCTCCTGTTTCCCTGGGTAACCTCCTCAATCAGTTAGGATGCACCATGGTATGTCACCTTCCGCTCCTGGCTCGCTCCTTGTGATGTTTCAAGCATCCTCAATGTTCTTAATTTCCTTAAGTGTGAAGGAAAGTAATACCTGGTATCTGTAAGGTAGTGCTTGATGGGATAAAGTGCTTTGATAAGCTCTTAATTATAAGGATTCTTATAATTTGTTGACTTCCCTTCCCAGCAACAGTGGGGTGTTTCTACCACGAGGCCTTCTCAGCCCTGTCATTTGACATAATTCTGCTGATTTCATTAACTTTCGCTGATTATTTTTTTTTGCAAGTCGATCACAATGATTGATTGACTGGGAAAATAGGTTTTATCATCCTTAGTCTCCAAGTTGAATAGTTGTAGCAGTTGGATTAGGTTAATCCTGGCAGTATCCGCCTTTGGCTGATTGCCACCGCTGAACGGAGCTGCCCCCTCTGCACCCCTGTGAATTAGGGGATTAAGAGAAGAGGTGCTTAAACTCAGCCCTTGATTGACACGTGGTTATACAAATTGTGAAGGAAACTGTGAGATTCCTGCAATCTACCTGGAATATTGGAGTCTTCAAGGTGAGAGCATAACAAAAACACCAACACACAGTGAAAGCAAGGCCCACTTACAGGAAATTCATGATCTCAGTTTTCAACTTCTTAAATTTGTAACCTTGAGATCGTTGTGCCCCCTGAGCAGCTGGAGGGAAAGGAGTGGGTTTGGAACAGGCAGGAGGCAGTGACTCCTGTGATGTATCTGAATGCTGGATAAACTCTCTCATTTCCACACAGACATGGGAGGTGAAAGACAGAACAAAATGGGCTGCAAGGGAGACTCACTGTGTGATTAAATAATGAATAAAATAGCATTGCAAATGATAATGTTATATTGTAAATAATTCCATTTGTTTACCCTACTATGGCATTGAAGTTCATCTCCCTTGGAGACTTCTCTGACTTTTGATGCTGTTTTGCTTTGCATATGCTCGATTTTTATTATTTTTTTCTAGCTTTCCACAGAACCTTCATAAAGGTTCAGGAACTGACAGGACTAAGTGAATAATTCACAGCAAACAATTTTTTGGATGAATTTGCCATCTTTATTTCTGTAAAAATAGCCCTACATACATACTGTATGTTTAACACTAATTTATTGTAAAATCAGTTTTAAGTATGAATTCCTCTCAAACCACCATCAATCCTTCTGTTTTTATGAATCGCATATAAACTCTCCTCTGGAAATAGCTGGGTTTAGAAATTAGTTTATTTGTGACTGGAGAAATGTGTATTGCTTTTGTTTCCTGCATGGATGGCTACTGTATTGCTACTGGTACAAATATGTCCCAACATAATATTTGGCAATGTGAATCTCAATTTTTAAGTTCATTTTTTAAATTCATATATAAACTACTCAAGTTTGATCTCTCAAATGCTTTAGAAAGGGAACACAAGGCAATCAAAAGACATCTATATTTTCCTCTAGAGAAATCATATCGAGGAATATATTGTAAGGAAGAAATAGTGCAATTACTATTAGTATTATTTGCTTGACTTCTACCTTGGAGAGCAATATTATTTTTTGGAAGCGGCTGCTGCATAAAAATATGAAATTATTCTTTCAGTGGATGAAGGGTGTGGGCATGTGTATTGTGCTTGTAGATCCAGACTAATGTTTATCCCTGAATATTAATCCAAAGATCAGAATTTAGTGCATGTAGTGGATGTTCAGTGATGCAATGCATTTTAGTGGGAAGTATCTCAGAAATCCCTTTAATTTACTGTAGATATCTCAGTACATATCTGTGTGAATCTGAAAGATGTAAAGTCAGGTCAAAGTACCTGATCTACCTCCGGACAATGCCACTGGTCAAACAGCAGCTGCTTCACTTCAACTGTCTGACAAAATGGGGGTAATGACACCTGAATGAAGCTCCATGAGCTCATTGATGGGAAGTGCTGAAGTAAAAACTTCTCAGGATAAGATTCAGAACATTGATCTCTGCATCTCGTGGTGATCCTGGGCATGTAATTGATTAAGTACCTCTGTCATGACAGAGACCTGAGGTTTCTGTTTTGCTGGGGGTTTTGTTGTTGGTTTTTTTCCCTAGGTGCCACCAGAAGATGCATATCCTACCTGAGAAAGCCAGGAGTTTCCCAAAGTCATAAAAAGAAGGAAAATAACCCGCAAGCAGCGATGAGGGGTGATGACAAGACAAACCAAACCTCTCTTTTGGGCAGAAGCAGAAGTGTGTGAGATGTTTGCATTGATCCTCACCTGGGAGTTCTGTGCTTGGAAGTTTTGAAGGCTTGGGGGAGAACTGAAAGACATCAGTGAAGGTGAGTTTCATTTCCTCATAGGAATTTGGGTTGAGTAGATGCTACAACCTGAGCTGTTCTCAGACACATCTGATGGGGCTTTGAATAACCCGACCTAGGAGAGGCATCCCCACCCATGGCAGGGGGTGGAATGAGGACATCTCCAAGATCCCTTCCAACCCAAACCATTCTGGGGCTCTGTGGTTCTGTGAAGCTCTGTACTTCCTGCAGCTCAGATGCCTTTGGAATTCCTGGCTCCGGAGCCCTTCGCATGGCATCGCAGGCGCTGTTTTGTTTCCAAGCCCAGAAGGATGAGACTTGTGTAAAGAGCTGCTAATTTGCTCTGCTTTGAGTACACAAGCTGAAGCCTCCACACGCACAGAGACCTCAATATCAACGTCAAGATGCGAAGGGAACAGTTTTTTGTTCGTGTTCCATTCCTGTATGAAACTTTTTGAGTAACAATTAAAGGAGGGCCCTGAGATGAGCTGAATAATGGTGAAACAAAGGCACCTGCAGCGTGCTGCCTGCTCCCCTGTTGTCTTAGAGCAGCGTCTGCTGTAGCTGCTGGGTACTGTGGCAGGGAAATCTCCTCCTCATTTCCATTTCAAACTCTGCCTGCTCTGAGATGAGGATAATCAGTCCCTCACTGCAGTTGTGCACTGCAGCATCTTCGCCTCCTGCTCCCTCTCCCGGGGCTCTCTCCTTTGCTGGCCCAGCTGTTTGTGGCACTCTGCTTCCCAGCTGACTCCAGGCACTGGAGCTCCACGCCTCTGTGGGGGCTCTCCAGCGCGCCCGCGTTCAGGGGTGCTTATGTGGCTTTTCTGCTCACACATCTGCGCTTAAGGAATGGAAATTAATGTCACTTGCATAGATATTTCTTTCAGTGATCTCTTGCAAGCATCCCCCTTACTGTATCTCTTTGTTTGGATGGGACTGCATAGAAGGATTTGTACATTCAAATCATTAATGACCTTCCTACGAGAGCTGAGAGCATTCCCAAAGCCCAGGGAATCAATCACACCAACAGCAAGCTCTTCAACCCAACTGATTGTCCTGTCTAATCTTTGGCAAGTATTTTTGCTAAAAGCAGGGAGGAATCTGCTGGAGTTGGAACTATACCCCCATCTCTCATATCCCATTTGGCATCGGGATCACAAGCCCAACTGCGGCTTTATTCATTGTTGTGTGAACCTGGCAGATCTTCTACCAAACTCTGCTCTCCAAAATCAGGCAAGAACACATCAGGAAGGAAACTGTTGGGCTCTAGAAATCAGAGACACCATAACTTAACACCAGAAAGATGCAGGGCCTGAGATTTGACATATTTTCGCCAAGAGTTGTGTTCCTCACACAGATGTGGTGGGTGGGAACAGACTGGGCTGACAGACTGCAGGTTCAGTGCTGTTTTAGAGGTCTGGTTCCTCTTGCCATCCTCACCTGAACACCAGGAAAGAAAGTGAATGGAAGAAACTCAGTGTTAGAAGGGCAGTCAGGGTACATCTCAATCACATAATCAATAGGATATTTGACAGCTTTATTCATCTTTTATCACCCACAAGTTAAGGGTAACAAAATGTCCCAGGCAGCCATTACCAAACAGCTCAGGGCTTGCATCGAAGAAGCCCATTAAGCAGGAAGAGCTGTTACTCCTGCAATAAATACGTGACACAGGACAGCGGGTAAGAGATTGGGGGCAGAAAAAGTGGTTTAGTCAAATGTGTCAGGTCACAGTGACGAAAGGTTAACAGCCTGTCACATGGCACATGCCCACAGCCACTGAGTTTTGCAACTATTAACACGTCCAGCAAGGCTCCCTGTGCCATGAGGTACAATAACCACAGATGCCTTAATGATCTTATATATGAAGGAATATGTAAAGCAGCTTAACTCTCATTCTTCAGCTATTACAAGCTTGATCTCCTAGAATTAGACAGAAACTTTAATCGCTGCCTCACTGCTGTGGTTTGCGAGCTCACGCGTGAATTTCTTCCTTGCCAGGGATTAATTTTGCTGTTTGGTGACATCCCATTGAAAGAGTGGACAAGGAAGAGCAAGAAATATATCTGTGCACAGACTGTAATTCTCCTTCCTGAGCACTGCCCAGCAGGCCAGGCACCTATTGACAGAGCCGATTAGGTCAGAGCTTGCCAGAGAAACACTTAACATCCATCTGTGAACAGCCAGGCAAGTTGGGTCTACCGCGGCTATAAGCTGTCACTCAAAAGTATTTCTGCCTTCAAAGTCCGTTTTCAAGCATCAGGAACAGACACCTTTCTGCACGGGGGAGGCAGCAGCCAGGAACGAACCTCTTGTGGGATAGCCAGGCAGAATCCCAAGGAAGAGAAGGCAGCATGGCGAGGAAGGGCGATGCCACATCCCACTGGGCCCAGAACGCCTGTCGGTGCCTTGGCTGGATGTGAGGGAGCAGCCCCCGCTGTCCCTGTTGCCTGATGGCAGCTGGCCGGGGATGCTGCTGCCCGGCCCGCCCGGGGGCTCAGGTGTCCCGTTTGCCACGGGCGGCTGTCGGCTGCAGCCCCCCGGGCCCGGAGCCGGCAGTGACGGCCGGCACGGCCACCCCAGCGCTGGAAGGGCTTCCTCAGCCGCCTGCCGCGGGAGGGACGGGCCCGAGGGAGCTCCGGCAGCCGGGCCGTGCTCAGAGGTGCTGCCGGGGGCCGGGGCGCTTTGAGCGGGCGGGCGGCGGGCTGGAAGCCGCGTCCCCTCACAAGGAGCGGGTGGAGGAAGGAGAAGGAGTCCGGGGCTGGAGCTGCGGGAGGGGGCCCGGAGCTGCCGGAGGGGGGTCCCCGCCGGGCGCCGCCCCCTGCCCGCGGCCCGGGCGGGGCGGGGGGCTCCGCTCGCCGCTATTGGGGGGATGCGGTAGCTGCAGGGCACCGGCGCTGCCGCCGCGGGCCCGGAGCCGCCTCCGCCCGCGCAGGCTCCGCGCCAGCAGCGCCGCAGCCAGCGAGGCACCGGGGCGCGCATCCCGCCCGCCGCCGCCGGAGGAGGAGGAGGATGATGAGGATGAGGATGAGCGGGGCACTGCGGGAAGCGGCGCCGGCTGCAGGTAGGAGGAGGCGGCGGGGAACCGCGGTGCTGCGCGGGGGGAACCGCCCGCTGCCGCCGCCGTGTTCGGAGCGAGTCCCGGCGCCCCGCGGAGCTCGGCGGAGTTGAGCGCAAAGTTTTTCCGCCGGGAGGGAGGCGCTGGCGCGGCGGAGCCGGCGAGGAGGCGGGGAGGGATGCTCGGGCAGCGCGGTGCCGCCTCGTCTGCCGGCCGGCGCTGCGCGGCTGGGACGTGCGAGCGGGGATGCGAGCGGAGGCTCGCCCGCAGCAGCCGCGCTTCGGGGCCGTGCGCGGGGATTTAACACTTCCAGAGCCGGCCACGGGCAACTTAGAGCCGTAGTGAGCATCTCCGAGCCGTGCCGGGAATGAACGTGAGACACCGCTTCCTTTCTTATTTGTGTGTCTGTGTGTGTGAGACTCTCGAGCAGGGTTTTCTCGCCATCCACCTCTGCGTGCCAGCCGGGAAGGGGAACTTGAACCAGCTGTCCCCTCTTGGTTTAATATTTACAGCCCGAATAAATATTTTGTTGCCCTTCTGCCTTTTTCTCGACGCCTTCTTGTAGTGTAGATGATTAATCAGGAAGGTTAGTGGCCAATTAGGCATAACCTTGTAGAAAAATAATTATGTGAGGATATATGGGGTTTTACTAGTGATGTGATACAGAATACACCCAGATCCTGGCAGCTGCTTCCCCATGTGTGCAAATTCAGCGTGTTCTTGATTTTGAATGGAAAGTCTAATGACAAATATGTTACTTCCAGGAGAAGACTGTTATTTTCCTTGCCGGTGAAATATACACCAGCTTCAAAGTAAAACGTGCATGTCAGGGGAAATAGAGAGGGGTTCTCTTTTTCTGGTCAGTCACTAAATGTTCTCTCTTTTGAATATGGTCTTTCTGGTGGTGCTGCTTGCTTTGAATGTTTGATTTGCAGAATGAATTTCATTTCGGTGCTCTTGGAGTCTCGTGAGAAGAAGTGCACTGCTGTGTCTTCTGAGGCTGGTTGTTTTAACTGATCTTGTTAAATAATGCTATTATTAAATGATGGCAAATTGAAGCAAATGTGTTTTTCATTGCCCACAAGTTGTGGTTCTGAGCTAAATTTCTTTTTATGGCTGGAGAGGCTCTTGCACTGCAGTATTACAATACAGCCATATTAAAAAGGTCCTTGGAGCAAATAACCCTCTAATGCTGCAGCTACATTTTCAGTAGACTTCAGTAGTTCTGTGGGAAGTGATTATGTTGTATTTAAGGAATCTGGGCTGAATTGATTGTGCCTTTTTAATTGTGGTGTTAAACTGCTTGTAGACGTTCATGTGAGTGGTAAATCTAAACCCAAAATCTGAAGAAGCAAAGCTCCAAACCCAAGGCTTTATTTGTGATATTTTTTTTTGCAACAGGTTTTTCTGTTTGTTTGTTTGTTTTTTTTCCTTCCTTCCTTCTCCCTTCAATTGCCAGAGAGGTCTCCAGCTTAAATACCTTTCCTTAACCAAGTAGAGTGCAGTGGTAGATGATACCATCATTCTCCTCTGTGTATGGTTTACTCTATCTCTGATGCTGCAAGGAATGAAGGCAAGGAAGACTGGAGATAAAAGGGAAAGAAGATCCCTGAGGTTGATGGTGCTGGCAAATTGATTGGTTAAGGTTTGCTCTGAGGAACTCCACTAGGTTTTAGATGGTTTCCTTGGGATGTTATGCTGAAAGCACAGGTCAGCACCTATCCCTCAGCAAATTCACACCAAATTCTCTGGTGTGTGCTTGGCAGGTGTGCAAAGCAGGCATGGAACTAAGCTTCTAATGTCAATATTTGGTGCTAAAAAAATAATTTAGAGCAGAAGACAAACATGTTGGTTACTTCTCTTTAACTATAGCTCTTCATTACTGGTTTTTCTTTGCTCTAGCAAACAAACACATAGCTCTTAAAATTGAATTAAGTGTGTAAACTACTTGAACCAGAGAGGGGAGACAGACTAATAAATAAAGAATTAAGCTATTGTGCCACTGAGTGGCTGATTACAGCTTTGGCCTGATCACTCAAGCAGTGCCCCAAGCAATCTCTCCATGCCCAGCACCCTTTTTTCTGGATTGGAGGATGGGAATGCTGGGGGTGACTGGGGGGAGATGCCTGCTTGACTGACAGACACTTACTGCAGAGTGACACCCACTGCTCTGTAATTTTGCCTCTGTAATGATTTTCTCCTGAGAGAATTAAAATGTTTACAGTTGGGTTTTTTGGAAGGGCTCCTCAAGATGCAGAGAGGAGGGTAGAGAAATCCATCCATTTTTTTAGATCTTGCTAATCCCAAGCTTCTGTAGCTCCTGTAGTTCTGCTAATTTTTATTGATTGTCATGGCAGTGGCTGTTTCAGAGCACAGGAGTGCAGATGTTTCCACTCCACACAGGGTGATCTTAAAAAGAAATCAAAGTGGGAAGGAAGGAGTGGCTGAAAGAGACATTTTACTCCAGTACCGCTTTCCTTCAGGTTTTTCATGAAACCAAGGCACTGATGAACAGTTGTATGCTTTTGAAATTCAATTTCAGTAGGAGGACTAAACTTTCCATCCTGTGCTTGCTGTAAATGCCATATAATCTTAACACAACTTATCATAAGGATGCAAACCTCAAAGTTCTCCAGCTCAAACCCATTTCTCTACTGGAGCAAAACCATGGGAATGGAGGAGTCTGTGGTGGAGGATGGGTATAATTTCCCATGTGGATGTCAGCTGTGTGCAAAAGGAGCTGAGCTGGAGTCAAGGCTGGTATCCAGAATGGCAGGAGATGGGAAACAAGAAGTGTCAGTGATTTCTGGCGATCAGCTCTCCCCTTATCAAACTCACGATCAGGAACATGGTCTGTGCTTCTTTAACCATCTGATGCTGACCTAAAATCTCTTTGCAGATCAATCTGTGCTCATCAGGTGAGCTTCAGTCAGGCTGGTGCCTGGTATTCACCCTCTGGTACCTTTAATTTCCTCACTCAATTCACCAGGCACGTTTGCTGCAGAAGTTGGATGCTGTTGGAGGTTTCCCATCCCCCGGTTCCATCCACACTTTGTCAAGGGAATTAAGCATGATGTAGCAGCCAGCCCAGCGTGGAGCTGACAAGCAGGGATCCCTCTACAGTGATACCTCCTGCAAGGGAAAAAGGAGGAGGGTTAGGATATTCAGGAGAAAATCCCAGAACAGGTGTATTCCCTGTGTTCCCCATTTTTCTGGCTGCAGCCTGTCTACAATTACTCTCCTCAGATTTTTAAGGATGTCCTTCTTTCAGAGCTGTAAAGAAGGAATAAGTGGTGTATTTGTGGGTTTATGCTTAACCAGAAATGCAGGAGCAGGCTGGAAGTGAAAACAAGCCAATCTCAACCACTGTTAAGAGCTCTTGGAAGGGGAAATGAGAAGTATTCTTTTGAGTAACCTGGATAGCAGGTGGAAATGACCCTATATACAGTGTCTATAAAACAGTGTGTTGGATAAAATGGTCCTATTATGGGAAGTGCAGAGGGCAAAAAACCTAAGCAGTCTTGACAATCATTTTGGGATTGTTCTGCAAGAAAATCAAAGGCTTGTCAGTTTTTGCTTTTATGCACATAAATCACCTTTGCTCCTCCTGTTTCATAAAATGCACTGGGTCAGGACTTTTCAGTTTGCCTCTACACTATTGTGAGTATTTACAGTAGAATACACATAGCACACAACAGGAGATTCATATTTCACAGCACTTTCATTTTTCATCAGTATGCCAAGTTAAAAAACCTCCAACTTCCCTTTAAAATAGCATGAAGATTTGCATGCCAGTTAAAAGGGATGAGAATACATTCTGATATTCCTCTTTTATAACCACAGATTGATGCATTCAACAGCCAACTCCTTTGATTCTTCCAACATTTGAGCATGAGTGACTTAGTGAAAAAAACACTATATGAATATTTACTCCTGTTTTAATGTAGCTGATCCCACTGAAGTCAAAGCAAGTGCAGCTGATTCCTCAAGCTGAGGATATGGCCCAGCAAAGGACTTTCCTAATTGGCAGGAGGCTGGTTTGGTACCATTCCTTGAAGGGCAGTATTTTAGAAAAAAAATTAAAAAAAAAATCTTACTAACATCAGAGGGATTTCTCATTTGTAATGTTAAGTGCTCCTCAGTGAGAGGTGAGGGGATTACTCCAGCTCGGAGAGTGTTTTCCCTGACTAATATATCTAAAATGTATGTTGGGATTGCCCAGCACTGATAATTCACACACCTCTGGAGTGGAATACAGCAGCGATTCCAGGATGGAAACATTATGCAGGAGGGGTTTAGGGAAGAGAAATGAAGAAAAACTAATCCAATTGAAACTGCAAGGGGAATTTAGGAAGCAGAATGCAATTATCCGAGTTGGATATTGGCCAGGACATGTTAGTTAACATTTTTGCTCTTGTGGGAATTTTCATGGGATCTTTAATGACGATGAATGGTCAAGGCTCTATTTTACATCTCATTTGAAAGCCTGAGCTTTTACTTCTTCATGAGGATGAAGTGAATGCTTTGCCTTCCTTCAAGATGAGTTGCTTTAGTCAATCTGCTTTCCTCCCACGGGGTCAGGGCTCTCTGGGCACAGCTGCCTGGCAATTCCACCTGGCCACGGGTTTTCTTCACCCTGAGCTGCTTAGTCAGAAGGAAACCCCAAAACTCAGCATTGCACATCAAACTCCACTTCCAGTTTAAAAGCTCTTCATGTGGAGAAGATCCCCTACAGATCAGCTGGCCATGGCATAGAGCCACAGAATGCTTTGGATTGGGAGGGACCTTAAAGATCAACTCATTCCAACTCCCTGCCACGGGTGTGTTTCCCTCCTTCTCTAAGCATCAGGCTGCCAGGTTTTTTCCCTGTTTTATGAGGACTAATGGATGGAAGAATCATCTGTCAATAGTAGATGTGATTAAT